GTCCTGCGGCGGCCGCGCTCCGGCTGCAGCCGCGCCGGCCCTCCTCATGCTTCTGCGACGGCTCCGCTCGGGGCTGTTTGGGAGAACGCTTTTCCCCCTGCCAGAAACAGATTTCCTACATGTCATCAGTCCACACAGACCGAGCGGAAGTAAAATGCTTACTTTTTCTGGTGGACAGCAAACGCAATCGACACTGATTTACCCTTCAAACGGGGAGAGATTGTATTACAAGCCCTTGGCAGCAGTTCCGAGCTTGGGGCCCAGCTCCGGCCCCCTCCGGCCCCCAAACACTAACCGAAGAGAGAAAGGGCGGGGGCTGGGGAGGGGATCGTATTTAACTCCAGGGTTTTAACATAGTCAATGGCTTTAGCACAATATTAAAATTGGGTGTTGGAAAAGTTGTGCTTTCCTGGCCAGTGTTTCTGCAGACTCAGAGGCATGAGCTTTCCAGTAACTTCGGCCACTCTTCGTTCCAAATTGAGCAATTTGACTTCTTAACAATTCTCTTTCAATATCAGATTTTAGAAGAGGCTGCACTCACGGCTGTTTTCACTTTACGAAAGGAAATACAATTCTACCCTCCTCTCAGCCTCAGCTCAGCGTTATGTTGAGTGTCTTAGACAATTTTCTCCAACTGTTGCATAGTAGTACAGGTATTCTGAGATGAAAAGGCTTCCCATGAGGCGGACAGATGTTCAAGCGTCTGCTTCACCGCTGATACACACGTGACCTCTTGCCGAGTGTCCTCATCGCCTCAGGTTACCACTGTCCCTGGAGCATAGGTGAAAAGTATCGCATATTCTCGTTTTGTTTTCATGTGCATCCGTTTCAGGTACATCTCCATCCACTGCATATGATGGCGGTGGCACAGGGATTCCCATCCCTCTCTGGGACCCATTCCTCACTCCCCTCAAATTAGAAACTACCTGTAGATCCACGATAGCAACGTGGTGGGGATAATTTTAGATATAATTGAAAAAATGCATTTTGCATTTATTATTGCTTTCATCTGGAAATGGTTATTTGCTCTAAAACGTCTAGAAACTGCATCAGTTATTGCTTGTGGCAGCAGTACAAATAATGAAGGGGAGAAAACAGATTGAAAAGTTTGGTGGCATTGAACTCCAAGCTTCTTATTTTTAATTCAATTTGGTGTTGCAGCTGTCAGCTCCATAGTCCTCCTTGGCTTCCCAGAAGAAAGGAAAAAGAGCCATTCCTCATTTTAAGAAGAAACAGCATTATAAAAAGGCCTATATTATTGCTTGAATATACATTAACAACAACAAACATGGGGAACAGGTTACTGATGAATTTGAGTAAATGATTCTGAAAATAAAGTTTCTCAAAATTTAAGCAGATCTGAGTATTCCTAGAGCCCCAACAAAGTATTTCACGTTTCTGAACCTGTACAATTTAAGTAAAAAGTCAAACATCCTTTAATTTTTTGTGATCAAAGCATCATCAGCCAATAAACGTTAATTTAAGTATTTTCAGGATATATGATGTGTTCAAAAAACCTAAGGCCTTGGATTTTGAAAATCTTATATCCTATTCCTCTCCAGATTTGAATATTCTTGCTGCATTGTTTAATATTGATGTTATAAAAGGCAAAGTGTAAGGCAATATTTTTGTTGATTCAGGGACAATACTAAACCCAGTTTGGGAAAATAAGGAGGCTTACAGAGGAGTTGGGAAAGCATGAGCATTCAAAATTACTTCTTCTCATGCCTCTTCCTTCCAGGTATTTTTAGTTTTAAATTCTGCATTATATCAAATCTTCTGAGCAAGAGCCGAAACGAAAATACTAGGAGAAATATACATTTTCTCTCTTAGCTTCTAAGAGTTGTGCTGAATGTTCTTTTGGTGACAAAAGAGAGGTAATACAAAAGATTTCTGAAGAGCCATCAAAATAGTATTTTCATTAAAATTTTTTTGACATTTGTAACAATTCCCATTTGATTTTTATTTCGTATTTTTCAAAATAAAATGTCTATTTATATATTCTGATCAGTCACTGATATAATTGTCAGACAATCTTTTTGTCCAAGAATTTTCTTGCCTTGATCTCAACCTAAACATGTTCACCTTAGGAAATCATCGTCCAGCTGACTCAGCTACAACCCCCCTGATGGGAAGGGAAGGGAAGCAATGCCTTATCCAATGGGATGAAAAGTGTCTAAATATATTCTTGAAACTTGACAGCATAACAAAGAAAAGTCAAGCCAGATTTAAAGAAAACATAGTTTTTCTTTTTAAGTTATCACAGGTTAGAGGACTTTAATATTGATAAAGTTTCTGGGTTGCTATGCGTTTCAGACATTCTAAACCTTCAACATTGTCTCAAATATGAACTCTACCCTTTCTCTAAAAAAAATCACGTGGGTTTAAAAAGAGCCCTCCCCCCTCCTTCCCTGTTTCTCCTCCCTCCCTCTCTCATCTCTCTCCTTCCCTCAGGGAAATAATATATACTCACTTATTCTGAAAAGTGGGGCAAACCTTCAATAGATGATGGAGATTAGAGGACACTTGGAAATAAGTTAAATAACATGGAAATAGACAAAGGGTTTAAGAAAAGTAAATTTCCAAGATGGCCAAGACATTCTTATATTCCTAAAAAGCTTCAAAAGGGCAGTTAAAGATGGCAAGTGATGGCCTTAGAAGCAAGTGAGAATAATGATACAGAAAGCAGTATGAAGACATGCAATTGGGGCTGGAGAAATATATGCAACAATGGAATAAGTGAAAACACTTATTTACATTTTATTGAAATATTTTATCAGTAATGTAAAATATATTTATCTTTCCCTACCTAGAATCTTGGCCCATAGTATAGGCCTTCAACTGATATATATTGAAATAATTTTAAATGTCATAAGGCAAACAAATGGATTTTATAAGTCCTAGTATGGTAATTATAAATACTGTTCGGGATAAAAAGTAAATGCTATTACTTTTCATCACTATTTATGTAAAAAACTACAAAGAATAAATTAAATGAGAGAAATTTTATGTAAAAAGTTCAAGGTTTACTTTCAGTTTGATATGCAGCTTAAAAAATCTATTGCTTTACTCTCAATGGAGAACTTGAAACTTTATAAGTACAACACAACAGTAGTATAGATATTCATTCCCTACTGTGCAGGACTCATATTTTTGCAAAATGTGTGTTATATATGAGCATATGTCTTCTACTTTTTACACAGGGGATAGATTAAAATCATTTCTTGAAATATTCCATTTATCTCATCTAGTTTTAAACATCCTATGCAATATATACAGTTGTCTGATTTTCCTTGTCTAAGTTGGAGTTGGGTTTTTATTTTTCCTTCATTACATATTTTCATGGTTTGTTTCTAAATCTTTTATAAAAATATCTGTGCCATCCTAATTGGATGAAGGTCAAATTTAATATGTATGTTTAATATAAAATATTTTTATTCCAATAATCTTGTCTTTCTTTTGCACCACTGTTATCTCCAGCGTCTAGAATTCCATTGGGCATATGGTAGGCACTCAATAATTGTTGAATGAATGAATGACTATTATAGAAGAAGGCAGTCTCTTAGGAAGCTTACTACTAATTGGTTATATTTTTATATATTGTCTTTAGTAGTTTGGAACTCAGAATAGAAAAATAATGTTAAAATAACATAAATGGTGGTTTCATTGCTAAGCTAGAATCATTTCACCTGGTAAAATATAACTACAGTTCAGTAAAACAGATGCTTGCCTGTGTGCCAGGCTTATAAATGAGGTCAGTCTGTGTCACTTGTCACTTCATTAAAAACCAAGGTTGATTTGGACTCAAGGTTTTAATCATAACC